TTTCCTCGTCGCCCCCTCCCACGCATCGCCCTCATCCCCCATCCCCTGCCCCGCCCCCCAAAATCGCCGCGCGTCGCCCGCAGGTCCGCGTCGCCGCTTGCAAGGTTGCCTGCGCGGTCGCCACCGCGCACCGGGCCCTCGTCCCAGACAGCGCCGCCCTGGCACGTGGCGGCCCAATCCATCTGGAGGAGGCCAGCGTCCAGATGCGCGACATGCGGCCAGCCGTGCCGCGCTCGGCGCGGTGGTCGGGCTCATGGCGCTGTTCAGGGGCTGCGTCAGCAAGGGTGAGCGTGATCTCGGGGCGGGGGGGCCTAGGCAGGTGGGAACATCCGGGGCAGCGCACTGTGGCGTTGGCACGTCGATGGCAGGAGCAGAGGTTTGCTGGCTCGCGCAGCTGCTGTTTCCGGCCGGCGCCTGGCAGGCCGCGGGCCCGCCTTCTGGCACCCGCTACTCCTCAATGCGTGAGGATTGAGCCTGCGCCCGTCGCCCCCTACTGCCGCGCCGCGCCCCGGCAGCCTGGCCGGCGGCAAGGGCGTGCACTGGATCCCTGCGCGCGCCATCATGTGCGTGTGCGCCGACGCGCCGCTGCGGCAGGAGCTCGAGACCGCGGTGTGGCGGGTCAGGCTGCTGGGGCCATCGGCGGCGCCGGGGCTGGTGTCGCAGGTGGGCCGGGCAGGGGCTGCCCCAGGCCGCGCCCGAGCCGCTGCGCATGCATTCGTGGGCGCGCACGGGTGGGATATGCATCGTGTGCAAACGGATTCACGTTTTGTTGCGACCCCACNTGATGACAGTGCGTATTGCTCTGGCCACCAGTGCCCCCACCCACCGCGGACCCACCCGCCCGCGCCGCCCCTGCCCTCTTCATCTCAGGTGTGGGTCGAGGTATGGCGCCAGGCGGCCCCCCATGAGTTCAGCAAGGTGGTGGTCCTGCTGGACGTTGTGGCGCTGCTGCAGGTGCGCCGCGGGGTGCGCTGATGCTTGCTCCCCCGCACACTTCCCCCCCTTCCCGGCACCCCTGGTTCCACTGAAGTGCCTCCTGCGCAGCACAAGTGACCTTACGGCACGCCTGTTGCGGTTGCATGCCTTAAGTTCCATGCCCTCTGCCGCCTTCCCAATACCCCCCCCCCTCTCACCCACCTGCTCACCCTCCTCGCCCTTGCTCCCCCTGTCAAGTTTGACGCCCTGTCATTACTGGAGTGCTGCCGCCTGCTGGCCGGCACAGAGGGCGAGCAGCGCGCGGGCCTGCAGGTCGGTGGGCGAGCAGTCCACGAGCGCGCCCCCCGGCCAGCTGAGGAGAGGGGGAGCTCAGGGCGACGCGGCGCGCTGGTGACTGCGCGCTGTGCGGCGGCGGCGACGCGGCGCAAGCGGCTGTTGCGCGGGAACGGATGTGCCGCTTTTTCCCTTCTAGNCAGCCTGGCGTTTCCGATCACAACGTTTCATGACTGTTTGTGGATGCAACGTGATCCACTTGCTGCAGGCCAAGATGGACGCCGCGGCACGCAAGATGGCAAAGCGGCTGCCGGACCCGTCCAGGGCAGCTCGTGGCGCTGAGGGACGTGCGGGAGAACAGGGTGGCGGCCAGCCTGCTGGCGGCGCTGGC